TTTTTCCACATGGGCATCTCTCCGTCCTCGCCCTCCCGGCGGCGCGGCCCCGCCGCAAAAGCCGCGCGCGCGCTCATGACACGCGGGCACGCGCCCTGCCGCAGCTGTCCCGCCGCGGCTCCGCCCCTCCTCAAATCGCGCCGCCATCCAGCGGCGACGGCTCGAGGGGCGGCCGGCGAGAGGAAGGGACCCGAACCGAGCGGCGGAGGGATCGGCGGGGCGGAGGGATTCGCACGCTGGAGCCGCCCGGCGGGAGGGAGGAGGGAGCGGGCGATGCGGCGCGGAGCCGCCGGTCGAGGCGAGGCGGCCGTTATCTGAGAGGGGGGGGGGGCGGCGGCGGGGCCGCGGGGGCGCGGAACGGCGGCGCGGGGGAAGGGCGAGGCCGCGAGGTGCGGCCGCGGGGCGGGGTGTGGCGGCGGCGTCACCGCCCCGCGTCACTGTGCGGTAGCCTGGGGAACGGGCGGTTGGCGACTGGGAGCCGCGCCGCACGCCGAGCACGCCGGGCTCCGCCGCCCGAGGAGCGAGGGTTTGTTCCGCCTGTTTCGCTTTTGTCTGAAATCCCGGGAGCCGGGTAGGCTCCCCGTGTTCTTCCCTTCCCGCCTCCCGCCTCTCCGGCATGTAGCGGGAAGACGGCGGTAGAGGGGCCGCGATTCGCACGGGCGGCCTTTCGGACGCGGTGCCGTTGGAAGGAGGAAGGTTAATCGTGGCCGCCGGCGCCGCGCTGAGGAAATGGGGCTGGCTGCTTACAGCTGAGTCCGTCCGCTGCCGGGAGCTGCCGCGGCGTGGGCTTCAACCGTTCTGGCATCAGGGAGGCACGCCGATGCCGGCCTGTCGCGTGTAAAATGGATAACGAAGTCTTCACCCCCGTTTTGAAGAAGTTCACGCGCAGCCCTCTCGTCACATGGGTAAGCGTTGTTTTTTTTTTTTTTGCTCGCCTGTCATTCATTGGTTTCCTTCTCGTTGGCGTTGTGTCATCATCCGGTTACTGCATTTCAGATTCGGACGTTTGGACCCTTAGCAGAAGAGAATGGCAACAGCCTGGAGGAATACCTGACGCTGGTGGATGGCGTATTTCTCAACGAAGTCATGCTGCAGATGTAAGTGTGTGCGGCCCCGTGCCGCCTGCCTCTGTCCCTCTCCTTGTCTGGAACGTTGGGCTTTCTTACCAGAACTGCATTTTTTTTATTTTTTTTTTCCTTCAGCAGTAGTGTGGGTAAATAACTTCTGTCTTGGGTGGCTTGAGCAGTCCCGTGGTGGGTGGCAGGGAGACTCTGGAGCAGAGCAGATGCTCTCATCTGCTCAGATGATGGTGTAATGTCCAAGCGATGTGATTCCAGGATGGGCTCATCATGCAATCTGGAGCTTGCTGGAAAATGAGATCGCTTTAAGTGGTTTCCCAGATTTCCATGAGAAGCATAATGGTTCATTCTGCTGTCAAGTCACGATCATAAACAAGGTTTTGAATAAATGCACTGAGCTAGTAAGATTGTGATACCTATCTTGGTTGGCACCGTACCTCCTAAGGATTTACCAATCACATCACGTTGTTTGCTGGTGGAGTGGTCTGCTCATCAACGCCTGCTTCATTTCTCACAGTTCGGAATTTGAGTAGATAGCAGTTGTGCAGTAAAGCTGAAACTGTGAGTGGGGAGCATTTTTTGGCCATGAACCACAGAAGAGCCGTTTTTGCATAGTCTTCTCAATTGTTTATTGAACGCTGCTTGGAAAAGCCAACTCCATCGTTATGAGATGGCATAAAATCACACATGAATAAATGCGTAGCTTGCTAGTTAGAAGACATATAGCTCAAAAAGTTCCAGTCAGAGAAATACCAGCATATCCAACTGTGTGTTGTGATTATTATTTTTTGTTAAGCATAGTTTAGACTGAAATGTTGCCCACTATTGTAATACTAGAATGTAATATTTTTGTGAGGAGCGTAGTGATGTAACTTAATAACGTCAATAATGGAAGAAAATACTCAATTTTTGTTATGTTTACAGAGGAAGGCAGCAAATCTATTTGCATAGGTACGAAAAAATACGGGCTTATGAATGATGAGATAGATAAACCAGCACATGAGCAGCTTGTGATGACAGCTGTTCCTTAGCACTGCACTCATGATGGGCATCCTGTTACTCCACTTACAGTTTTACTTGTACACACATACATTTATAGCTTTTTCTGTTGGTATCGAGCTCACGTGAATAACCTGTGTAACAAAATTCTACTTGCCACATGTAAATTTGAATTGTTATCCTCTTGAAATCAATGCCTTCTTTGTCACTACAACTGATTTATTTTTTCTTGGACTGCATATACATGAAATAGCTGGTCAATTTTAAGTGTGCATTTAGCATGTAGAGCTTCTGTTTGATTAAAAATGTTTGACAGCTGGAAGTAGAAGGTAAATTTGATACTGGAACAAAGTGATTTTGAAGAATATAACTTCAAAATTGAGCTTTCTCGGTAAGTTTTTACAATATTAAGCAAGTGTAACCTGATTGGTATGTATGTGGTGAACGTTTGTGTAACATGGGAAGCTGCAGGGAGAGAACAATCCCATGCTTGAGCACTGAATTTGGCTTTGACAGCATGCTGGGATGACTGTAGTTTACTTGGAAGGAGTTGTGTGTAGATGTGTAAACACAGGAGGGAGGCAAAGAAAGAAAGTTTGGCACTTGGAACAACTGAAAACTACCTTAAATTAGAGGAACCTGTACAAGTGCTGACAGTAAATCTAGTTTTACAAATACGTAACTACTCTGGAAGGTGTGTTTAATTTAAAATACTTTTTTGGGGAGTTAAGATATGTTAAGATTGATTACTACTTAGAAATGAAACTTCTTCCAGAACCGTATTCTTATTTGGGAAGGGGTGAGGGGAATATGTTTGTTTTTCTTTTGCTAGGGTTGAAAGAGGAAAAAAATGTTTCGTGTTTTGCAGACAGATTCCATCTCTGGTGAAGTCAGCGGAAAGCTCTGTTAGCTTCTGGTCCCTTTGAAGATCCACCTATTAAAAATTCATCTTCATTTGCAAAAAAAAAAAAGCATTTAAAGATGTAACTTCAATTTACCATTGAAATCAGATTTTCAGTATTTTCCATTTTATTAGGATTTTTCTTTTTGTCCTTTTGGTCTTAACTACCATATGTTGAGGAAATGTAGCAGAAAATGTAACTTCAAAATCATCTTTATATTTGGAATTTCTTTACGTTTTGTTTGACTTTTTCACATGAGACATAGAGGTCCATAGTTACGGGTTATGACACAGTAATTCTGGACAAATAGTGTTGCTCTTGCAGAAGTGATCAGGAGTGCAGTGCCTAGAAAGCATCTGTGGAGGTTGCTTTTGATATGAGTTATGTCATCTAGTACTTGCTGTTTACGTTAGTTGAGAAATGCTTGGGATGCTGGTGTTCTGGTGTGAGGATACAGCTATCAACCATCTGCTGGGTGAGGACTGTGGTGTGTTGTTGCTGTGGGTTGCATTAGATGCTTTCAAGGAAGTTAAGGATATGAACAAGTGGAGGCTGTTAGAGGCGTTGTAATCTTGCTGCTCTCATACTTGAATACGTATTTTAGTTCTGCCGAATGCTGGGGGGGAAGTTACAGGCATGTTTTAAGCAGTTACATATTGCACAAAGTTATTTCATTCCATAGCAGAATTTTTTGTTCTCAGCAGTGGTACTGAGATGGCTGAGTTTCTTGTTTATTTGTTTTTCTGCTGGAATTGACTTTATTGGTACCCAGTACATCAGGAAGAGAAAAACAAATTTGTTACATTCCTTGTATGCCTTTTGCTGTTGAAAGTTTTAGAACATGTGAAAATTGCATGGATTCCACTGGTCTGGTTAGATCTGGAGAGCTCTTCCTTTACTGGAGATGCTACAGGCAAGCTGTTTTTTGTTTTGTTTGTTTTCCTGTTTTTAAGGTGAGTTCTGATCTTAGAATATCAGCTCCTGACTTGAGAGAGCATCCCATTTCCTGTTTAAATTTAGGTCAGTTTCTTCAAGAGTATTCATTTACCCACCTTCTGCTAGGAGCAGTCTGTGTCTGATACATGGATAGAAACCCATCTGTCTTTCTAAATCTGGGCCTTCAGCTTTGTGTTCTTTGGTACAGAAAGGAGTTATGTATCTTGGAAGTAAATTGCCATGCAGGGGATCTCCTCAGTGGGGTTCTGCCATAGCAGAGAGGTGGAGGAGCCTACCCACAATAGTTCCTACCTTTACCATGAATCTGGCCAGGGTTGAAAAGGACCACAGTGCTCATCCAGTTTCAACCCCTGCTGTGTGCAGGGTCACCAACCACCAGCCCAAGCTGCCCAGAGCCACATCCAGCCTGGCCTTGAATGCCTGCAGGGATGCTTTGATGTCAGAAGGCTTCTGATGTTAGGAAATGTGCAGGTGCTTGAGTGATGTATGGTGTGTGCTACTAAAATGAAGGAATAGAGTTCAGCAGGTTGGTCAGCCCTTGCACGTCTAGTAAATAATACCTACTTGTCCTGGTAGGGATGTATGAGTTGCTCTTCTCAAGCAACCTGTGAGACTTTGCAGTTGTGTACTTTTATTCAAGTAATTACAAGATTGGGACTTCCTTTCCATTTAGCAGCGCCACTGAATATTTGTTTATGTAAAAAAAAAAAAATAAATAAAATAAAATTCAAACTGTAGCTTAGTTTTAATGGCTCTTTTTTTTTATTTATTTTTTTTACTCTACTTTGCATTTGTGGAAATGGATCTGTTTCAGTGCAACTGTTGGGCGAATAGCATGTTCAGAGTGAGTGATGTGAAGAACCGAGCTCTGGAACTGAGCTCACGATGCACTGCCTGGAGAACCCGTCTGTTTTTGTGTCTGTCTTCCATTCCTAAGCGTTGCATTAATTGAATACATCCACTGGTACTACCCACATTAGTTACTGCATCAGAACGTGTTCAGAGCTATTTCAAAGCAAGGAGCTTTTTGTTTTCTCCTGTTTTTCTCCATTCTTGCTGTTCAGTCACAGTTTTTCACAGTCTGGATCTGCATGCAGAGCTTCCACACCCATAGAATTTTCCAGGTGGACTGGCTGACAGTTTTCTTCCACTGCTGTGGTGGTGTGTGCCTTGAATGTGTAGACTGCTTCATTGACTCATTTTCTGAGCTCTCAGTCTTTAGTTGCACGCTTTTTTTTTTTCCCAAGCAGTTGAGCTTGCCAGCCCATACTTCTGGCTTGCTTATATCTTTTTCTGAAAACTGGACTCCATCTCCAGTGCTTCGGCCAGCTGCCTGGCTCTGTGAAAGAGTGCAGGGACGTGTGCTCCAATCCAATTAACTCTTTCACGTGAAGGCCAAAGAGGCAGCTTCGGTCAGGTTTTGACTGGGCAAAGGGATGGGAAAAAATGATTTAGGGAAAATTAAATTGGTGAGTTTGGCAGCAAAACTACACGCACGTGGTATTTTAGACAAGTGGCAAATAAAATGAAGCCTGTACCATTCTCATTGGTTGAAGTGGATGGATTTGACTCGCATTTCTCAAACTCACTCTGCCAGGCTCACGTGATGCAGGTAAATGGCACTAGCAGTTTCGAGTTGCTCTCAAAAGTGGTTTTGCAGGAATATTTTCTGCAAGGTGTTCTTCAAAGAAAGCAGTGTTTGTGATGGTTTCTGCAAAGAAGCAAATTCTGTAAGAAGCGATGCAGTAGAATGTGCACTGCAGTCAAGATTGCTGGAATTGAAACCTTTAGATTACGAAAACTAAAAGGTACTTTTATGCAGTGTTAGAGTGAGGGTGGTTAACTTTAGCTTGAACATTTGCCTGCAGCCAGCTTCAGTCGTGCAAGTGAAGTGAATGTAGGTTGGTACCTGTGCTTCTGAGGTGCTTGAGTTCTTGATAGGTAAAGGGGAAATAGAGTGTAGGCTGGATATGGAATGTGTGGAGTGTGTGACCTTCTGGCTACGTCTCCATTTTTTGAGTTCTTTGTGTCTTTTTCCGCTGTTGATGTCCAGTGTCCTTCATCCTGTCTCCTTCAATTTATTTCTGTGTGGTAAACCATTCAGTGGTTCACTCTACAACTTTGAAGGTTAGGAAGCAAATGGTCTAATCGTCCCCTGCA